CCCTGATGTCCCACAGTCAAAGCAAAACCACACTACTTTCCTCTCTCGAATAGAACACACGGTCAGTGTCGCCGTATCTAGACTGAAGTTTGCCCCACGTACAGGTACGTTGACCGTGCGTTCTATTCGGGGTAAGACTACCTACGGGTAAGGTGAGTTCGCGCAACAGTATACAAAAAAAAAATAATAATTAAAAAAAAAAATCAACTGTTTGTCGGAGTTTCACCACTAGCAGCGTTGAGCTACCTCAACGCCTGAATCTGAACGTGTTTGTGGAGACGTGCAGTTCCGGAAACTCGACACCATTTCTGCACATCTCCGCAAAAGCGTCCACATTCAGGCGTTGAGGTACCTCAACGCTGCTAGTGGGACTTGGGCCCAGGAGGCTGAACCCTAATATATATCGTCAAACAGAGGAGCTGGCCGGTAAAGCGTAGGCAGATAGGGAGAAGAGGGAGAAGAGGACAATAAACGAGGGAGGGGCTGTGACAAACTGTTTCGTCGGAGTTTCACCGACGGACTCATGAGGAGTCTGTATATATATGTTTTGCAATATATGTATATATGTTCGGTATTTAATAGAGTTATATTATTTTAGATTTATTATATCTATTATTTAGGACATTCGTTATTAATTTGACTTCATATACGTAGGTACGGGTAGTTGGTCGGCCGACGTGAGTTGGAGATATATACTACGGGAGCCGAGACGAAGAGAAACCGATGACGACTCCAAATTAAAAAAAAAAAAAAAAAAAAAAAAAACCTGGTGACGAACAAGGCTTAGCCTGAACGAAGTGATAAGTGCGCTATTTTTAGAGCAAAAGTAATTCTATTCTTGATTTTTTTTTTTTTTTGCAATTAAAAAGGAACAACAGTTATAAAGCTGTGTGAAAAGGACACAAAAAAAAAAAAAAAAAAGACACAGATTCAGGGGCCGCTGGGTCTCGGGCACTCAGGGGGGCCGAGCCCCTCCCTGCAGCAAAGTCAGAAGGAGGACCAAAAAAAGTTAAAATAACCCCGCTACTAAAAGGCCGAGAAATGCTTTTCCCCCCTTTCCCCCCCCCACCCCCCCGCCCTCCACTTCCCTTGTATTATAACGGATGTATGGATGTAAATGAAGGGTTATCGTAGTTGGCCAACAGAGGCTCAAAATTACCCCCACCCCCCAGGCACCATTTTCCCCCCCGACCAGAAAAAAAAAGGGAAAAAAAAAGAGGAAAAGTTAGTGGAATACAGAAATTAGTAAATTACTAATAAATAGTAATAATACCAAAGTAGGACCTTCTGAGCAAATCAATGAAGGTTAGCAGCTGTCTGAAGATGATCAATCAACACTTTTTTTTTTTTTTTTTAATCAGTCAACAATCTTGAGTGGGAGTCTTTTGAAGCTTCAGATTTTGATATGAATGGTGAATATTTGCCAAAAAAAAAAAAAAAAAAAAAAGTTGGACAGATTAAGAAGGGAAGGTAAACAAAGTTAGCAAAATGTAACCCCCTCCCCTACCCCCTCCCCCAACACCCCCAACGCTTCCCCCCTAGCCCCCCCCAAAAAACGTCAGGACACTTGACCAATCAAAAACGATTGTGATTAGGGTCTAGGTAGTGATCAATCAAAACTGTCGGGGTGTCACCCTTTAATTTATTTAACCCCTCCCTTACCCCCCCCTCTCCGCCACCTTCCGTCCTCCTTCGTCTTCCTCCCATCCCCCTCCCCTCCTCCGCTCATCCTTCCCCTCCCCCCAAAACAGTCTTTTGAAGGTCTACTGTCCTTTTCGTACCCTACGACGACGACGACGACGGCGTTGAAGACCTTGAAAGAAAGATGGCTATGGAGTTGCGTCGAGTGATTGTGGAGGCCCACGATGCCACCATTCTTTGCGTGGCCTTCAATCCATGGAGGAGGGAGATCTTCAGCGGCGGTCAAGACTCCCTTATCAAGGTCTGGGATATGGATTCCGGCCGCCATATCCGGACCTTTCAGAAGCATCGGGGTTGGGTCACCGACCTCCTGTTTCCTCTCCCTGTCCGCTTTCTCTTCTCCTCCTCGTTGGACGGACACCTTCTTGTCTGGACCGAGAAGGGCAAGGAGGTGCAGTGCGTTACCATCGGTGAGCCCATCTTCTGTCTACAGTGGAATGCCAAGAGGAGGCAGGTGATTGCTGGGGGGGACAGCATGCTCTTCCTCTACCGAACCACAAGGCTTAGCTTCGATGACCTTAAGGCGGCAGACGGACGCGATGCTCGGATCATTAGGCTGGTGGCCACGATCAATAGTCATAACGACATCGTGCGGGGCATTTGTTGCTCAAAAAATGGGAAGATTTTCAGCGCCAGCTACGACAGGAGCATATGCACTTACGAGAGTGAGAGGCCTAAAGACTCTAACTTGGCCATCGAAGGGGACAGGCCTCGCGTTATATGGTCCAAGTTCAAGAAGTGCCATAAGGGGGCCATAAGTTGCCTGGCCCTTGACACGGACAACAATTGGCTGATAAGTGGGGGCCTAGATGGTACCATGAAGATTTGGAGCCATGAAGGGAGGTGCTTGGACACCTTCGAGAACTTCACTGACTCCATCACTAGTATAGCATACCTTACGTCTACGAAGACGTACTGGGTGACCGGCAAGTCCAGGAAGATGATCGCTTATGACCCTCGAACCCCCGCCGAAATCACCAGCTACATTGCGCAAACCAGCCGGCTGAAGGACTTCCAGCTGACCAAGGTGTATCAGTGCCCGCAGTCCGATCTAGTCATCGGGATCTCTCATAACGACGAGTTAATAATGTGGAGGTACAACCCGTGCGCCGCACTGAGGGTGATGACAGGGCATTCCGATTGGGTCGAGTCTGTTGCTATCGTAAATAGACAAGCCCGTGAAGCGGCACGTGTCGAAACTGAGGCTCAGGAGTCTGTTCCTTCTGCTCCGGTGGCCGCCGCGGCTGCTGCTTCTCAGGACGTCGCCGGTCCTACTACGGGAGATCCTGTTCCAGGTGGTGCAGTTTCTGGTGCGGATGGTCCAAGTTCTGGTGCGGATGGTGCAAGTTCTGGTGCTGAGGGTCCGGTTTCTGGTGCAGGGGATGCGGTTTCTGCTCCAGGCGGTGCAGTTACTGATGCAGTTTCTGGTCCCGGTGGTACAGTCGCTGCTCCAGATGGTGTAGTGTCTGGTGGAGGTGGTGCAGTTTCTGGTCCAGGCAGTGCAGTTTCTGGTCCAGGCAGTGGAGTTTCTGCTTCAGCTGG